GGAGCGGGAGAGGTGGCAGACTCGGAGCCACCGGCCAGCGCCCCGCGGGCTCGGCGCCTGCATGTACGCGACCGGATCCCAGCCCAGCCCGTCCGCCGCCGCCGCCTCGCCTCCAGGCCCGCCCAAGCTGCAAGTCCCCGGCAGGCCCGTCCGTGGGCAGCGCTGCACAGCCCGCCCTCCCGCAGCGCAGGCGCACCCTCCTCCCCGCGACAACTCATGCAGGGTCGTACTTGCCTGCCGCCGCCCGCCCAGCCCGGACCCCGCCGCGACCTGCTCTAGCCCTGCAGGGCGCCGGCCGCACGGCCCGCTCCCTCCCCCGGCGCCTTCTTCTGCGGGGCAGAGAGAGCTGCACTGTACCCGCGCCGCCCACGCAGGGGTCTCACTCGGGCGCGCAGGCCCCGGCCCAGCCGCACGGCTGCCAAGCGCAGACCTGCTGGTTCTCTGTCCGCTGCTCACAATCCGCCCACGCGTCTCCTCGCTGACGGCTCAGCAGGGTTCGCGGGGGGGGGGGGGGGGGGACCCCGGGCAGGCCCGCCCCAAACCTTCTAGCGCACTGCCCCTGGAGGCGGTGGGGGAGGCTCGCGGAGGCGAAACACCCAACTCTGACGTGCTTCCACAACGCCACTTCCGGGGACCGGGCGTGGAGAGAGACATCTGGGGCCACTAGGCCCCGCCCACGGCGCGCAGAGCCAATGGCGGTGCGGGAAGGTTCCGCCCACCCCTGCGTGGGGGGGCTGTGGCTAGTGCTGATCCGGCTCTCCAGCGCTGGGGAGGGGCGGAGGCTTGGTCTGGGCAGGGGACGCGCGCAGGCGGTTGGGTCTCTGAAAGTGGCACGTGGCCGTGCCGTCACGCCCTGCTCGCTGCATCGGGCGGGCCTGTAGCGAGGTGCCCTGCCCTGGTGGCGTCACTGCGGCGCGAGGGCCATGCTGGGGCCCACAGAATGTCACTCCGACATTTCGATCAGCGCTGACTTAACCAGAGCCCGGCTCTGACGTGCGTGCCCTTTTCTGCGCAGGAAAACGAAGCCCCAGGACGGGCAAGTTTCAAATAGAGTTAGGGACTGTTAACTTCTATCCTGATCAGGGACAGATCTAGGAGGTTTACACTGGTGCACTTGCAGCACACTCCTCCCCGCCCCCGCGCCCCCCCTCCCCGTTTTTTTTCTTGTTTTTTTTAGTTCCATTCGAAGTTTAAAACCAACTGTTCCAACAGTGGCAGCAGCGTTTCCAGTCAGGCTGTGCTAAGGCAGTCAGCTCACTCCATGGCCCAGGATAATATATTGATGCTATGGGATCCCCTCTAAACTCTTCATGCCACAGGTGTTAACTTCCCTCTCTTCTTTTTCAAGCTATCCTTTGTTAAGCAATCCTGCTGCGTTAGGAGCTTCAGCAGCAGCTATTTCACTGCCCTACAGATTCTTGTTAAGTCATTCCAAAGAAGTTGTACATGTTTTTGCTTCATACAGTCCTAGGCCCCAGTACTGTTTCCAGATTATTTCCAGTTTTCCACACTTTCCAGTTTATTTTAATAAAAGAAAAATGTGTTGCTTCTTATGTGAAGATGCACCTCACCATTTGCACTTCCTTTTTAAAAATCTTAGATCTGCCCATGCCTGATTCCCCCCTACTCCTGCAGCGGGACTTCAGAGTGTAGTTCTGTGGGACTTCCCAGTTTACCTTGTCCAGCTACAACACTCACAGCAAAGTCTTGCCCTGAGTAACTTAACTATTGCAGGTACAATAGTGACTTCCTTGCCTGAAGTCAGTTTTTGTGAGATGTCAGATACCAGGAAACTGCCTGAAGGATTAAACACTCTGTTCATATTAGTGGAAACTAATTCCCTAAACTGCCTTAAAAAAATCTCAGGAATGAACTTCACTATTATGCATTTATACCTGACTTGTCATTTAAAAACAAGCTAAAATTAAACAGGCTTGACTATAAATGTTTATTTGTTTATTTACATTCATAATACAATGTTGTGCTTAGGGGGAGCACTAATGGATATCTTTCACAGAGCAATAACATATTTTGCAATCAAAGGTTCAGCTGTTCTTTCTTAATATAATAGCATTATTTGAGGGACACACTAAATGACATCTGAAAATTAAAAAAATATAGTAATTCCCCTCCATTATATTTATATTAACTTGAGTGCTTGTTAGATATACAGCACATAAAGTGCCAAAAAACTGACCATGGAAAGCAAAAAAACTTGTTTCAACTAAAAAACATTTATCAGAACATCAACAGATGGATATTACCTTTTTTCATAAAACACTTCCACCTTATTTAAGTGCTGAGGAAGATAACTGTTTTGGTTAATGCACTGCATACTCAAGAAACTTTGAATCTTTGCCAAGATTTGAGA